GCTGAGGGGAGCAGCGGGCGGGTCAGGAGAGGTCTGCCGCGCCATGTGGTCACCTCCGGGGCAGGCGGGAATCGAACTCATGAGGAAGTGGCTTTGGCTTCCCAGTGCAGTGCTTTAACCCACTGCACCACCAGGGAGGGCCCCTCTTAATTTTTTAACTGATGTTTTAATATTATTTTCTTTGGGGAAGATTTAAATTAAAAATAAATTCCCTGCGTGCATTTCCTATACAACTAATATTAAAACATACCATTTGTAGCAGCAAATTATTTCACATCACTTATATCTGGTAGTGAAATTGAGGAGAGAGATGAAATTCTGAACATTTGAAAAAACATAAGTATCCAGATAAATTAGCATTTTTTTTTCATGGACATGGAATGGACCATGCCACTTTGAAGAAATTTGTAAATAGCATTTTTAAAAATAACTATTTTATAGTACCATTGGTTTGCATCATTGTTAATATTTTGGAAGTATATGTTCACTTAGGTGTTAGTCAAGTTGCTTGTTCAGAAAATATACAGTAAATTCTCTTCATGTTATTGATCTGTGACTTTAAGCAAAATAACATATAAGGAAAGCAAGTTATTTTGTTCAGTGCACTGTTATCTAAAAGTATGTGTGCAGTATATTATATCTGCTTAGTTATGTAAAAGGTTGAGAATTCTTTCTGTCTTTGCAACATCTTGAAATGTTCCCTACACTGAGCATCATATCATATGTACTCAATAGTACATGAGTTTATTCAACAGTTTGTGGAAAAAATGTCTCAATTAGAGACAATACAAATTCATTACAAATTATCTTATTTGTTAATTATTAACATATATGAATGCAAATTATATTTTAATTAAATTTCCCAATTCAATTATTCACATAATGCATACTATTAGTTTCACTATCATTAGACATGTATTGAATAGTGTAAAAGGCCACATATATTTAAGGAGGTAAAAAAAGAAAATATCTACATGCCATCAGGGAAAATGCATTCTTTTAACAAATTTTTAAGGATGCAGATATCACATTTAAAGTAAGATGTCATTTACATAGCCTCTTGGGTGTTATTTTTTCCAGCAGTATTGAATTGTGATGCCATGGTGAATTAATGAATTTACCCCACTACTTGTGGACTTCCATATCTATTTATAAAAATAAATAATAAGCTAATAAAATAAAATAGTGATCTCATTTAACAGGTGTTTTTCACGTCTTCAGAATATATCTACTTGTTTATTAGCTTTGCTAATGTTCATCCATAAGAAATTTAAATGTCAATAAAATTTAAGTTCCCAAATTTCTATAAAGTAATCTTAAAAAGATGAATTTTATTTATAAAATATTTACTTTTTGTAAGCAATGTGTATTTATAAATTCAGGCCAAAACACTATGAAAAATGTACGTAGTTTCAAAATCTTTTTACAAATGAAACTACAGAAGTCCAGAAGATGAAACAGCATTCAGTTTTGAAACTTCCTTACAGGATAATAGGGAGATAATTATTAGAAAAAGTCCATTACATCTTTGTATTAATGAAATTGCTGAAAAGATTAATTTCAATTTTCATTTCTTTTGTGTGTACTATGACTTTCATTTCTTCTAAAATAGTAAAACTGCTATTAACATAATTTATGAATGAAAATGGATATGTTCAGAGGAATTTCCAAAGCTGTAAAATCTCATTTTTTAATAGAAACATTCAATCTAGAAATATAAAACTAGTTATTTTAATATATTACAGGCTGTATTTAAATGTTAATTTTAGTTGTTTTATCAAAAGTTTTATTTCATTATTAATGTTTATTTTCAAAATAGAATCTAAGACTATACGTGATATAATTAATAATTAAATTCCTTAGACTCTTTCTAGAAAACGAGTATATTTCAGAGGATTGTATTAGTGCTCCTTTTATTTAGTATCTAGAATCTGGGAGAAACTCACAAATGTCATTTCTTTGATTTCATTTTAATCATATGATTAGTTATTTGTTTTTGAGTTGCAACTTAAAAGGATCAGTAACACTATGTTTTGATGTTTGGAATTGATTATACACTACAGGAATAGTGATGTAATAATGATGATGATGATGATGATAATGATGACAATGATAGTGAAACCTAAACAATAACATGAAAACATTAACCTCATCAGTGCTATTTTCTCTACAGCTATATCAAGGTATTCATTATTAATTAAAAAGCCAAGTGTGAGTTCTCTATATTTAGCAGAATTTCACATCTGAGTAGGGTTCTTAGCAATTATCACTTGACACAGACAAGTTTAAAGAATGATAGATTAGAGTCATGACAAGTCCTGGAACTTATTTAGCATTGAGCTTGGTGGACAATTTTAACCTCAGTTAATGGCACAATGATGTTTTTTCTTCATGCCTCAAATAGGTTTAAGATTAATTGTCCAAACTTTTCTTCAGTGTCCACACATGATACATTGATCTTATGTACACACTATGTGAAATTTAAGCACTAGTAGACTAACATGATGTACATATGGAGGGCAGTGAGTTTAATGTAACAATTTTTTTTAGCAAAACTGCCTCTCTGGGTAAAACTGCTTATTTGTAAATTGTTGTTAGTTTAACCAGGGTTAAATATGACTCATTCAACACTCTATGATACCATAGGCACATTAGTACTTTATTGTTTTCTATGTTCTTAGTTTCAAAATATGTTGCCTATTCTCATTATTTATGCATCCAAATATTGGAGGAACTATTTGTACATTAAAAAAGTTGAATATATATATATATTTTTTTTTCATAAAGATTTATTTATTTATGCATACAGAACTGGGGTAGAGGCCAGAGGCTCAAGGGTGGTGAGAGGCTTCACCAGAGACAGAGTGGGGAACAGAACAGACAGATCAACGAAGTACACTGCTGAGGGGAGCAGCGGGCGGGTCAGGAGAGGTCTGCCATGCCATGTGGTCACCTCCAGGGCAGGCGGGAATCGAACTCATGCGGAAGCGGCTTTAGACTCTCAGTGCTGTGCTTTAACCCGCTGCGCCACCACGGAGGGCCAAAAAAAAGTTGAATATATTTAACACTACTGATCTTTACTTTTAGAAACAGTTAATACGCATTTTCATATTTTATATTAAACATATAAATTATTTACGAATTCTTATAGCTCCTATTATTTATTTGTTTAAGCATAGAAGAGCTGGAGGTATAGGCTACAGGTGCAGGGATGAAAGGATTAATCAGAGACAGAGTGGGGAACAGAACAGGTAGCTCTACCAGAGTACACTGCTGAGGGGAGCAGCAGAGAGAATGGAGGGGTCTGCTGCCACATATGTGGGTCAGCTCCCTGGCCAGGAAGGAACTCAGGCCACTGCATGATAACGCTGGCTGAGATTTAACCCATACACCACCAGGAAGCCTGCTGTTAGGCTGCATGATTTTTAAGAATATCATTAAATTCTTCTTTAGCATATTATAATATAATTTTTCTGTTAATAAATGTGATTAAAAAATTTGAACAGATGCACATATTAGGAAATAGCAGTTGCTCTCAGATTTCCTGGACATAAAGTATTTATCAGTGTTTTCCTTGGTTATTATAATCCAAATATTTTTCATCACCCAGCGAAACATATTTCCATGGTTTACACTGACTCAGGAGAAGGTAATTTCTCATCTTTCCTAGTATCCACACAGTTCTCAGGATTCTCATTATGTGATGTGTATACTCAGGAAGTAATGCTATGTCTCCAGTGATTGAATAGGAAAGAAAACAGTAACTATAGACTGCATTTTCTCAGCATAATGTTAGGAGGAAACAAACATGTTTTCAGGGCAATAGAATTGCCTTGAATTCTAGAATGTCAAACAAGAAAGGATGCCTATTTTAAAGTTTATTAAAGAGAGAGACACTGAATAAAGCAAATTTTCTATCATTCATTGTAATTAAAATTTACATGTATCTATTAAGGACATTGTAACAATTCCAATTTATTCTTTAAACAATTACAAATATTTGGCATAAAATAATGTGCATATCCATGTAACAAGTTTGAAAAGTGAGGAATGAGAATCTAAAATTTGCCAGCTTCTAACAATGATCATTAATATTTCAACTGAAGGGATCATATATTTCTTTTACAAATTTCTAAGTAATTTTTTTAATGAGCAAAATTCTAAAGGACTTCAACATGCAGTGGATATATATATATACATATATGACATACAGCATAAGTAGCTTTCATGCTTACACTGAACTCAACATAAGGCAAAAGCCTATAATTGTACTTATTCTTTGGCTCAGTGTGTTCAAAAAGCAAAACAATGTGGCAAGGCTAATGAAAACAATCCTTTGTTTTAGCCAGTTTTGGATTGTTAATTCAGTTGCAATAAAATCCACTCATCCTCTCTGATGATATATGCAGCTTCAATTAGCAGGACAATTGTTTTCTGAATGTAAAAACAAACAAACAAAAAAAACACAAAAAACAAGCAAGAATCTGTTTCTCTATTTGTCCTTGTAGTTTAGGAAAATGAGGAAAAACCAGTTGTTTTAATAAAACATCCTTCTGCCTCCTCAAATGACCACCTCTGATTAGTAAAACAATAAACCAATCAGAATCTGTCAGATGAAATAGCAGGCCTTCTATTCTTAGGACAAATTCATGAATATTGCCACATATTATGAAACAAGTGAACAAATTGTAGTCAGGAAATTATCCATGCCATGAGTATCAGTCCCTCCTCTTAATTGCTACAGTAAAACAAGCCTTTGGTAACTCTGTTGTATGCTACAATGCAAAGCAAATTACCAGTAACCACTCCTGAACTAATACACGCCAGGTATTGTCCTCATAGCACTTTTAATTCTGTTTGCTCTTCTACCACGTTTGACATCAGTAGGTAAATCTGCAGAAATCCTTGTTCTTGAAGAGTTTTCATCTCAGGAAGTTTGTATTCTTGCCCTCTGATATAAAAATAACCATTCCAGATAAAATTTCTCCAAATAAAATAAGTCAAGGTTGCTTGATGACTACCACACAGGCACCTGCTCTCCCAATGTTTAGTGAAGCCATCTGTTGAAAGATGAAACAAAATTTGAGAAAAAAAATCTATTTGTGTATAGAGAACTACAGAAATTTTAAACTAAAACATCGTGAAAATCATAGATAAATGCACTTGTGGTTTTAGAGGTTTAATCAGAAGTAGTCTAGTAAAATATAAATAATGGAAACACCATTTAAAAAGAAGCAATAATTTGTATATTGATGATCTAAAGGTTAGATTTAGGAAATTTTTAATAAAAAGCAATAAACAATTTAATGATAGCTATGGAAAGAAAGCTACTATAAATATGTTCCAGCAGAGATATATTGTTAAGTTTGCAGGGACACATTTGTGGTGATATGTCATAATGATAGCAGCATGGAATAGTTATTGCACTTATTGAAATCATTTTGAATATATTTCCCCAGATATTATACTGAATCAATGTGTTATTCATTCATTCTAAACAGATACAAGCAATAAAGTAACTCCACTGTTTTCTCATAAATAGACCATAATTACAATTGCTATAAGACTTATTAAAAAATCCACCTTATGACAGTGAAATGAAAACTGAGATTTTTAATAATATTGAATATGAAATTGGCTGAAAATATACCGAAAACAGTATTTCAGAGAGTTTGTAATGAAAACTTATTCCATGGAGGTAAGTCAGGATTTTAATAATTTGAGCTTTTTGATATCTGTAACTTTTTTCTAAGAATAATATATGCACCTAAAAATATTGGGGTAGGCTGGAATTACAGGGTATTATTTCACACTGAAAAGAAGGTGAATAAAATGTAAGAAATAAAATAGAATCAAAGAACGTCATATCCCATATATTAGTTCGTTGAGTAAAGTGTGTGATCTAAATGTGAAAACTGCCACCGTTATGTAATACTTCTTTTAAATGTACTTACTCTACCAACCATCCTTTTGAGGAAAACAGAAGAAAAAAAAAAGGATCTTGTACTATGTTTTTTAATTTATTTTATTTAATATATTCTTTTTAAAAAGGTAAAGTAAAATCTATCATTTCTAGCTCATAGATTTTGCTTAAAATAAGAGAAAGAAAGGGCCATGGGACTATATTGGTAGCCTACTGTGTGCTAAGGATAATTTTTATATAGCATCCAATTTAAATTCATACTCTCTGCACATATATTTGGCTTCATGTAAGAGAGATGAGAATGAAGCGTCAAGATACAGTATTTAAGTCCCATAATATCAATGTATACAAACTGAAATGTATCCCACCCCAGAAGGCACACAGTCACAATGTCATTCTTTAGTTTCCAAAGATTTTTTTTTTTAAGATTTATTTATTTATTTATTTATTCATACAGAACTGGGATACAAGGCCAGAGATGTGGAGGGTGAGAGGATTCACCAGGGACAGAGTGGGGAGCAGAACAGGCAGATCGTGAGGTACACTGCTGAGGGGAGCAGCGGGCGGTCCGGAGAGGTCTGCCACGCCATGTGATCTCCTCCGGGGCAGGCGTGATCGAACTCATGTGGAAGTGGCTTAAGCTTCTTAGTGCTGTGCTTTAACCTGCTGCGCCACCAGGGAGGGCCAGTTTCCAAAGATTTTTAACTACTGTCTCACTTGAGAGCATCAAGGAAAAATTTACCATTTGTAATTTTTTCAATAGAAATGGAATATGTTTTGCATAAATATATTTTTTAAGTTCCCGGATATAATATCTGGCATTCATTCACTAGGGAGAAATACTCTGCATGTTTCTAGACAACTATAGAGTGAATAGCTTTATCTTTTATTTACATCTATTACTCTATATTGGTATATGACTTTGTAAAAATTAATCTCTGCATTATTTGCCCAAACAGTGTTATTCCTCCTATTTCCTATGTAACTCAAATAATATGCCACTTCCATAGTTGCTTAAGCTAGAAACTTTAGAGCACATGAATGACCCTTAGCTTTTCCTAACACAACTTAACATGTGAATAATCGTCAAGTCTCTAAAATATTTCCAATCACCTTAAATGAGCTCTTTCCTCTGGTCTTCAACTTAGTTCAAAGTACAATTTTGCCTTCAATGCATTAGCAAAACATCCTCCTGATGGGTTCTCTGAATTCAATCTTCCTTTCTCTTAACTATTTCACACTCTATCGAGTGCAATCATTTTATTATCTCCTTTTTAGTTGTATTATTTCCTTTCTCTGCTAAAATTCTTCATAAAGCACATATACATGTTGAGGTGGAAGCTTTTCTTCCATATATTAATTATATGTTTTTTTAAACAACTGGTAAATCAATACAATCTGATTAAAAAAAAAGAAAAAGGAAAATAACTAGATATATTTATAACTAAAGATATAACTTGCATTAAAAGTACCATTTTCCCCCAGGGTTATTTGCTGATCCCTGTGGTCTATAATTTAAATTTTTAATTAAGCATGAATTGCAGATACAAAAATACCCTTTATTAACTTCCTTTAGATTTTTAAAAAACATTTTATTTATTTATTTTTGTTTATGCATACAAGAACTGGGGTAGAGGCCATAGTTGCAATGGGAGGATTCCCAAGAGACAGGATGGATGACAGGTGGCTCTACTGTAATACGCTGCTGAGGGGAGCAGTAGGTGAGACAGGCAAGGTCTGCTGCACCATGTGGGCCAGCTCCCTGTCTGGAGATCAGTTTCATGCATCAGTGTACATGGATTGCTGTGCTCTAACACCACCAAAGAGGCCCCTCGCTTCAGTTTTACAATAAAGTCAAGATTTTAGAAAATCTTTCCAGGTTTTTAGAATATGATTTCTGGTTCTACATAATATACATCCTGTCTGTCTCTCCTAACTCATTGTCTATCACTTATTTCTTGACCAGTGAAATATGCCAGGCTTATTCTTGCAGCTTTTCATAAATTCTGTTACTAAAAACAAACCATTTCCCTTATTTTCATCTGATTGACTATTACTCAATTGTCAGGCCTCATTCTACATATGATTTCCTGAAGTAAGGTTTCTCCACTCAAGAAACTTATGTTCTCTTATAGTGTAAGGAATTCCTCTTACCACAGAATTTATCATGCTATATTAATAATTTACTGTATTACATATAAATGCAGTCTAAATATTTAAGAAAGTTTTCAGTTGCCCTTAGTCCAAATCTATCAATTGGTCGATCAATCAATCTATTCTGCTCTTCCTTCTTAGAATGGAATGTAAATGATTACACATAGAATTAATTAGATAAAGGCCACTGAGGAAGTATGTATCTCACCAGGTCTTTTGGAACTTACTCTCAATGTTGATTATGCGTAATCAGCTTAACCTACCACACAATACAGTAAAATTAGTTGCCAATATTCTCTATTTATTTAATAAACTTCCATACTTCCTACCCCATGCCAACACAATGCTTGTCTTTGAAATATGACCATAAATGGGGTGCTATATAATTCTTTCTTCTGCTGGTGGATGCATCATGGCAATAAACATGTGAAATTGTTATTTTGTCAGGCTGGGAAAATGGTTTTGTGTTTTTTTTTTTAATAAATATATAAATTTTTGCAATCAAATGCAAAAAATAAACCAAATGTTTTATGACAGATTTATTTAAAACACACACTACACATACATATAAGTAAACATGTGTTCTCTGTAAAATAAAGTGTGTAAGGCATTAGCCTGACAATGACTAATTTAGTCTCTTTGTTTACAACTCCATCTACTCTCTAACTCTATTTGTAGAGTTTTCCAAATACAGTTTTTGGTTATTTAAATGGTTTGCCATTCTAATAGTTAGTCTTTCAGAAGTACCAGTAACAAGCAGGATAACCAATTTATTCTTTCCATATATACTAAGTGTAGGGAAAGTAACAGGTTTTGCCCAGCGAATATGTACATCTTTAATCCTGTTGCCCGGAATCTTGGAAGTTTACAAAGGAATTTTATTGTAGGCTTGAGCATGATCCCTAATAAGTAATAAAAATGAAAATAATATGAAAAAGATATGGACACAAAAACTTAAATTACTTTAATAGCTTTTAAATTAATGATTATTATGATAAGAAAAAGTTGTTATAAAATATAAAACATTTTAAACACTTCTTTGCTCTTTGTAAGATATTATATGATCAAAAAGAATATAATGAAATGAAGATGGGAAAAATGGTCTTTAGGAGGCTTTTACCTATTATTACTACATATATTATTTTGATTTCAATTTTAGAGGACTGATAAACATAATGGCCCATTATTATAAATATGTAATGAAGGTATTTTATTACATCATTTATATGCCCATAAACTTTCTTTACTTAATGTTCATTTGTATAAGTGGCACGTTTAAATATATATACTATTGGACTAGTACATTTCCTCAGCAAATTAACAATTGATCTAGTGTACCCTTTGGAAACACAAGGGACTCAGAAAAGTAAGGAGTTAAAATATGTCCTCTAAATTTTTAGTGCAATAAAGTGAAAAGCAGTAATTCATGGCTGTTTTTATATTTGTTGCTTCTTGAATAAGGGATGCTTGCCTCATAATTATTGCAGAATATCACAAGAGTTAGTTCTTCAAATCTTTCACCTTCTTTCCTCCACTCTGTTCTTTCTCATTAGCTAGTTTCATCTATTTTCATTGGACACGAAAGAGTTTTTCCTTAAGAAGGATTTGTATTCATAATGTAGTTACCAAAGCCTGGCCGCTAGGGAATTGGTCTTGTATTTGTACTGTAGAGTCACCTAAATACTCTGCTTGAACATACACATACAATGAACTGGCATGATCACGACTTTATTTACTTTGGTCCCTCCCTGGTGGCACAACTAGCTAAACTGCAGCACTATGAATCTATTGGCAGCTACTGCTCCGGAATTTCGATCCCCAGCAGGGAGGTGACCAATATGGCATTGCAGACTTCTCCTGACCTGCTCACTGCTCCCCTCAGTAGCTTATTTCAGTATATCTGAATGTTGTGTCCCCCACTGTTGCTGGTGAATCCTCTCATCCACAACACCTATAGATTGTACCCTAGTTCTTGAATGCATGAATAAATAAATCTTTTTTTAAAAGACTTTATGTATTTTAAAAGGCAAGCATTTGTAAGAGAAATTTGCATCATTGTTCAAATTGTTCACAGAGTTTTTTTGTGGTGAGAAAGAGAGCCATACACTCACAACAGAATAAGAGGAGATGAGTTTATTATTTTACCTCAGCTAAACAAGGTTTTTGAATTTTACTGCACACATTGTTGGAACTATTTTATTATTATTATTACTTAGTTGTTTATATACTTGTTTATAAGTATCTTAATTTTAGGTTTCTGATAAAGGAGGAAATAATAGAAATGTGGACGAATTTTGAAAAGAGAAGTAAAGTAAGAAGAAATTGAATTATTGGCACACGTCTGAGAATGTATCATCTCCTTTCATTATAAGCAAGAATATAGTAGCTATAGAGCATAAGGTACTTTCCACTGTAATTGAATTGACCTGTCTTCATCTTTCCCCAAGTTATACCAACACCAGGCCATGCTTTAGCATGACACCAGGATCACGGCTGTTTTATTTTAAATGATCCTGCATCTCTAACTTCAATGTGTTTTCAAGGAATAACACCTCACTGCAGATCAGCCAATGATTACACTCCATCTTCCTAGCCAAAGCTGTTCAGAAGTGAGAAGTTTAATATAACAAGGTGCTAGAGGTCTTTGATTTTTCTTTTAATTGAGCATAATTATTTTGTTCTCTATTTATGGCTGTGAAGTTTACTATTATGCAGTTTCCACAATGGACCTAATAAACATAGTCAAGTAAAAACAGAAAGCAGAAGGTAGCCTTCCATTTTTTTACTCCAGCTATAGTTAAAACCAAATTCTAAAGTTACGTTTTATGAAACTACATATTCAACTTTTATTTTATTGGCTCAATTAATTAAGATTCTGTTCTTTTGATCTGATTTATAATAAAGTAAAAATCTCACTTAGGTATGGTAGCACTTTTTTTTTTTTTTTAGTAATAGTTTATTTTTACACATTTTCCCATCTCAGTTGCAATCCCCTTTGGTTTCCCATCACCAAATCACCCATGTGCCATCATAATAGTCCAGTGCATTTCCCTTCTCCCACTGTTTTTGATCCCATTCCCCACCCAACCCCACAATATGTCTCTGGTATATAACTTTTCATCATTATCATTATTTTCTCGCCTGTTCCATTATATTCCTGCTATGAGAGAAACCATCTAGTATTTTTCCATTACTTTCTGGCTTATTTCACTAAGCATGATCTTTTCCAGTTCCATCCATGTTGCTGCAAAAGACATGTGTTTCTTGTTTTTGGTTACAGTAGCACTTTTAACATACAATTTTATTCAAATAAGAATGCAAAAGAAAAGTATATAAAAACAAGTGATTTAATGAACTTCTTACAAAATGAACATTAATGGATTAAATGAAACAGTTTATGTAAAGACTAAATGGATTTAGATACACTGTGTATATATGTACATGTGTGTGCATGTACTCTACATAGAGTATATACCCCATATACATACACATGCACACCTGCATGCATATTACACTTCTCCAAAGAAAATAAATAAATCTCCTAAATTTAAAAAAAACTGTGCTGTTGCCAGTCTTACCTGTGTCCATTCATTAGTTTGTGGGTCATAGGATTCCATAGTGTTGAGGTATGTCTGCCCATCATAGCCTCCTACAGCATACAATCGGTCACCAAGGAGACAGACTCCAACAGCATCTCTTGGCATACTTAATGGAGCTACCATGGTCCATGTGTCTGTTTTGGGGTCATATCTAAAGTATAAGGGTAATAGAATACTACATGATTTGATCACATTCCAGCTTAATTAAATTAATGATACTCTTTAAAAAAATTAAGCTTTTGCTAGAAGTGCCATAAGTTCAGCATGTGTTTTAGAACTAACAGGCAGAACATCTGATTTCTAATATATAAGTAATTTTAAAAAATTCATCTAACTCTTACTTAGAAGAATGCAGTTATTTAATAAAAATTAATGTCATAATCTTTCCATGAGGTAGTCAGACATGCAAGTAAAATGTTCTGTAGTAAAAGAAAAGTATTTAAAACAGATTAAACCACACTCAATTTTCTGTAGTAAAGTAAAATCCTGTGAATATTAGGAATAATTATGTTTTGACTCATATTTTACTATACTAGTTTTCAAAATTGAGAAGAGGTGAAATGAATTGCTGACAGAGCTAGAAAAGCAAGGATATGTTAAACAGCTCTTTAACTCCTCGTGCGTATAGCTTTCTCCATGGAACTTTAAAAATTACTTAAGCTACTGTCAATCAACAGAATAGAGAACATATACAGGCATCCTATATTTTTGTTATACCTCATATTCAGAATAAATATTTTTTACAAAGAATGGATGGAGTCACTAATATAAGGACTATAAAGTAACTAGTAGCCCAATAAAGACAAACCTAAATACTAACTCTTGATGGCTGATACAGAATTGAAGCACCAAGTGATAGAGGGAATGGGGCAGGAGTAAAGACAAAGGGGAGAAAGCAGAAAGGCCTATGGGTATGGAATATGGGGGAGTTGGTTGGACTATAGTGGTTATACCTGATGCGGGCAGCCCACTACCACCTCACTTAAAAATAAATTAATTAATAAACAGCTAAATAAATATATAAATGAATATCTTAAAAAGTCCTTAAAACTACAATAAAATACAGTATAGTAAATAAATCTTTTAACAATTTAAAACTAAGAATAAACATTTTCTCTGCTAAGAGAAAGCTATACTGTATCTTTTTAAGCAGTCTCTACTTAAAAATGAAAGTGACAGCATTCTTCTCTATAGACCATCTTACACTTCAGCAATTCATGGATCTTTATCTTTCTTCTTCCTTCAAATAATGCTGCTATGTTAACATGATGTTGCCAGTATGCTAGCCAGAGTACCCATGGGCACCAGACCACTTCATCATTCCCAGTGCCAGCTGATCTTTTTAAAGATGTCTGCTGTTCATATAAGTCACTGAAGAAAAATTGAATCACATATATTAATTATTATAACTGTATTGTCTGTTTATTATTTTTACATTTACTGAAAAAGCAGGACCCCTATATAGCTGGGCTGACATGGAGTCTTTTCTATATGTGTCTATTAGAAACTAGAGTGCAATTTGATATCGATAACAAAGACATACATTATATCACTACAGAAAATAAATCAACACACAGTAGTTAGTCTTTTCTTGCTACATTCATCAGCTGGCCCCAAAAGACCTTAAGGAAAAGAAAAAGGTATATTAAAAAGTGCAAAAGCTCTAACATGTTAAGTTTAAAAATTCAAGTAATCACTGCTTTGCAGAAACTATAGTATCTCATACCTGTCAAAATATGAATTAATATATCAATATGCTGCAAAGTTATAAGATAAACATTCATAATTTAAAGTATTTCTCACTTTTTAAGGATATTACCATTCTTGCTTTATCTGTACACTAAAAAAGATATAATGAGAAATTGATAGAAATAAAAGAATAAAAATATCAATCTTACCTTATAAATTAATATTGGCAGTTTTGTTTAAAAATAAGTGAATAATTTATTCATCTCTGTATATATGATAATTATTATTACATTATTTCATGTTGTAACAGATATTTAAAAATAAAAACTTAAATCACATCTTCACACAAGTATATTAATTTTTTTTACTTTTTCTGATATGACAGAAGTATATTCTGCTAGATTTTGAACATAATTTTATATTTATTATAATTTGTATTCATTATATGTAACCCACTGTGCATTTTATACTTACTGCATTGGCTCCATTGTACCTTTATGTCTAAAACTGTGATACCTAGCTGGCAATAGTATTTAACATGACATAAGGATATAATTTTCAACTAATATATGAACAATTGTTTAGTATTTTTAGCCACATCAAATTTTTTTCTGTGTACTGAATATATGTCTAAAAATAGGTAACTGTGTACATGTAACAAATAATAGCAATTATATGTAAACAGAAGTAACAAATAAGAATGTCACTGTATAACTTTCCACTACGTAGAAAAATCAATCAATTTTTCTGTAAATCATATGTCTACCCACCCTTCTTTCATTGATTGATTGACCGATCCATCAATCCATCACCCAACCCATCCATGCTTTCATCCATCTATCTATCTATCTATCTATCTATCTATCTATCTATCTATCTATCTATCTATCTATCTATCTATCTATCTATCTATCATCTGTCTACCTACCTCTTTATCCACCTAACTATCTGTCTCTGTCTACCTACCTATCTACCTGCTTACCTGCCTGTCTGCCTATATCTATAGCTAGCTATATCTAGCTACTTACATATTTCTCTATTACCAGTAAATAATGTATCTCAAAATGTTTTTCCTTGTGAGAAATTATAGGCCTGTTTTTTATTTATTTATTTATTTTTTTTTAGTATGTGACTAATTGAATACAATATTTAGTTGAGGGCTTAATCTGAGTCAGGATTTGTATACCAAGTGGAAGAATATAGATGTAGAGAACATAGCATTAGTCATTATCAGTGATATAATCTTGTTTATTAGAAAAATCAGTGTAAAACTAATAGTTCAGTCATTGATATATTGATAATTGGTTAAACAGAAAAAAAAAACATTATGTTTTCAGGACAGATATTCATTAGCAAAAGATCCCTCTGGCTACTATAAAAAATGGAGGAAGCAAAGTAGATCTTATAAAGGTTAATTTAGGAGATTGTTATTAACTGAGATCCATCTACTACCAAGCCTTATTATTGATATTCATATTTGAGGGAGAAATAGTCCTGATCTGTGTTTAGTCATTGGTCATACTGATGTCTTTAAACATATTTTTATGATGTATTGCCTAGAATAGTTTTGTTTGTGACCTTAAAGTTCTAATTACTTATTTCCTTGTCTACTTCAATGCATTTTAAGTCTATATTTCACCATGAAAAATACATGCAAAATAGCGTTTACTGAATATTTATATGGATATATGTGTGTGTGCATGCGTATATGTGTGTTTGTATGTATAATCGTGCTTTATATAGTGGATTGTACATTCTGAACCTAAATTCTGCTAGAATGTATTGCATTTTTTTGTAGTAGATTTTGCTCACAAAGATTGTCACACTATAATGAGGTTGGGTGACACACTTAATTTTTACTGCTGCATCAATTATTGCTGCAAACTTTCTGTTCTCACTAAGTCCCTCCCTGTGTTCTTACCTCCTCTGATTTGAAGTGTCAATGTTCTTTATATTTAAAACAGCCTGATCATTAATAACTTTGATAAGTATTATACAATTGTACTTTAGTATCTCATTTTCTAACATATTGTATTTCATTGTCATCTAACAAAAGGGTTTTATCTATCATCTACCTATGCATCTCTTTCACACATCACATTGTATATACTATATCTGGCTGTCCCAGTGATTTGTTTACTTGATTATATACTATAAAAAACATTTGTTACATGCAAAAAATTACAGAAGTACAATTATTTCTTTACTGATTATTTTGCATGTGAAAAATCAACGAGAGAGTATGTATTAATAAAAAGTGTATAAATGCTCTTAATCTGACATGCCTGGTAAACGTGGATAAGAATCATGATTATGCTGTGTGCTTCTGCATTCCTTATACTGCTCATACCAACAACACTCAGATAACGTAAAATAGCTATGTTTATTTAAATTTTACTTTGTATCATAAATGTATTCCTATACTATATTATTTATGTCTGTTCACAAACATTACAATAGCTTATCTAGTAAAGTTAGAAGAGAGTATGTGCATGAAATATCATTCATTAGTAACATTTATATAAGATAGTCATGGGAAAAGTTGGATCCTCATCATATTAATTTTTTCACTATAACCCCCCCCCCAAAAAAAAAAAAGAAAATAGCAGAGGAAATGCAAAGGAACACAAAGGAGTTAGTAGCATTCTTATATAAATAATTGCATGGTTATATGTATGAAATTACATCTTTCTTTCTTTGGATACTGACCACCACCCTCAATGTACCATTTTAATATTAGATAGTCATGGGAAAAGTTCGATCCCCGTCTCAATAATTTTTTCACTATATCCCCCCCCCAAAAAAAAAAAAAGAAAATAGCAGAGGAAATGCAAAGGAACACAAAGGAGTTAGTAGCATTCTTATATAAATAATTGCATGGTTATATGTATGAAATTACATCTTTCTTTCTTTGGATACTGACCACCACCCTCAATGTACCATTTTAATATTACTTTCACTGGGTAAAAAAATGTTGATGTGGTATATAATGCCCTACATTTTTTATTTATGTAACTGTAAATCTTAGTCCATTTCACAGAGTAGCTACATCATTAAACATTTCTGTACTTTACATAAGCCACATAATTTTTTTAAGTCTGTTCACTAGGAGACTACTCTTTTTTCCAGTGATCATATTCTTCATAAAAATACATACTTATCTATAGAGCATCTTTCACTGAATATACTACTTAAAAGCATGAGTATAAAGGGGGCAGTTTCTTTACATTAAAATGAAAATTATGATGATCAGTGTGAAACACAAGTAAGTCGAATCTCCATGATACAAGTTGGGAGACTGCCTTCCTATGCACCACAGTTTTCTGTAACTGCTTTGCCATCAAAGTTTGAACAGAAGTGAATTATGTCACTTGCAGGTAAAATCTTTAATAAGTGAGCAATTTAATAAATATGCTGGCTTTTCCTTTCTGACATGCAAATTGCAGTACTACTGCAATACATATGTCCTTCTGGAGAGTAGTGTTAGTAAGTAATATGATGGAGTGTTCATGAATATATAGCATGAGAAATACCATAAAACTAAAAAACAAACAAACAAAAAAAAACAACTAAACTTTTGAAGTTATTTGTTAGAATAAAATTATTTATCCCAGTTGATACAATAATTAGCCTGTATTCTCTAGTATCACTTCCTCGTATATTAGCATGCATTCTTAATGAAAGGACACACCACCGTATGCTTCACCAACTTTCTACTACTTGCTACACAGAGGTTAGAAGATCTCAGTGATACATATCCATTAGAAAGAATTTTCTGTAAACATTCCAGGAGATATCTGGGTTGGCAAACAAATTCTGAAGCTAAAGCACCTTTCTTCATCAGCCTTTGTGCACTGGCCTATTTTAAGAAAAGCTAAAAAGAGGACTGATAGTTCTCCCTTTCTGTGGGAATATAGAAAATACAATTCTAATTGGACTATTTTGCATTAATAAATGTGTCACAAAGAAGGGTGCTGATAATTCACTTTGAGAAGTTGAAGGAACTAATATAACAGGTTGAATAAAACAAATAAAACATCCAATTAAAATATATTTATTAATGCAATAAATTATTTAAAACTATATTTTAAATTACATTTTATATTCACTAAGAAGAAAAGTAAGAATCTGGAAGGGAGGAAAGCAGGGAGGGAAAGAGGGGAAGGAGAGGGAAAGGAAAAATAAAACAAGAATGAATGAAAACATAAAAATACTATTAATCTGACATGTCAGTGAACTTGGATAAGAGTTATGATAATGCTGTGTGCTTATGTATCCCTTATGTGTGTGTGTGTGTGTGTGTGTGTGAGAGAGAGAGAAAGAGAACTGTTAAAGCAGCTCTAAGAATTGAATATCTTTCATCAGTATATTTTGCAGTTTCTTCCTGTGAAAGTGCCCTGGGATCTTACCTTTCTACATAATCCAGTAGCCTGGAACAGTGATTTGAAGCAGGGGCATCGTGACCTCCTACTGCATAGAGAAAACCATCGCACGTGGCCACTCCCACACCCCCTCTCCTCTTACACATGGGAGCGCACATGTTCCATTTATTCGTATGAGGATCGTAATATTCCATTGAACTCAGACAGGAACTTCCATCTCGACCGCCAACTGAATACAACCTGAAAACACAATTAGAAAACCATTATTTAGTATTTATATTCTGGATGGTAAATGCAGAAAAGTCAAAGTTTAAAAAACAACAACAACAACACGCTTTCAGTAACCACGTGACTCTTTAAAGTATCCAAATATATTACTTGACAGACATTTTGTTAAAAGTACGCTATAAAATATTAAACATGCCTGAAATTTCTGTCATTCCCGCATTACAGATGAAATTAAAACAGTGCTAATGCTCTTACCGATATTTTTTCTAAAATTTCAGTTGATTTCAAGTACTCCATGTATAAAGATATTGTGTTGCTGTATTATTTTAATAAATATAGAGGAATCTGTTAGCAAACATGGGAAAAGTGGTGTACCATGCTGGTCTGCTTGAATATTACTGAAACTTCACTCATTTTGTTACAATTATTTCATCAATGATACATACGTTAGGATTCAGGAAAATAATTACTTGTAGTATAAATGGCATTTAAATTATTAGAATGGCATTATTCCTGATAAAATAATTCTTGTCTATTTGATCACAATCATGAAGATTTCATCATTGTAAGATCTAGAGTTGCATTTATTTATTTACAATTTGTTCAACATTTACTTTTGAATTCCTAGAATATGCTTCACACTACCCAAAATGCTGTGGTGATATCCATGAACAAAAGGAGCCAAGATTCTTGCACTCTGTTCTACTGGGATAGAGGTAGGCATAACCGTACGCATAAACACCCACATTATATATAGTACTTTAGAAGTGCTTCATCAGTAAACCTAGAGGCATGGAAGAGAGATCAGACAAGTGCTAGGAGTGGAGGTTGTTGTTGCAATTTTAATGTTCCAGAAGATTCTTGCTAAAAGGTGATATTTGCAAAAAAAAAGTTTGAAGTAATTGGCAGTGGTTGAAAGTGAGTTTAGGAATATCTGGTGGGGAAAAATTTAAGGTGGACTGAGTAGGTGAGGATAAAATTCCCAGAGCAGCAGGGAAGAAGGTGGCTGGAGCAGAAAATGAGGACATGTGGCAGAGGAAATAAGACTTGGGGTGTGGGGCGGATCCTTACACAAGGGTTTGCGGATGCTTATCCTGAAAGAAATATGAAGCTGAAAGACAAATTTGAATAGATGAGTGATGTGATTTGCTCATGTGTTAATAAGACTAGATGTTGTGGAATTTTTGCTTTATGATGCTTCATATATTAGTAAATAGATTTAATTCTGTACTCTTGGTTTCTACATAAATGCACAGGAAGACATTATTACTTAGCATATAAAGTCATTCAAGTCTTAGATTTATAAATGTATGCTCTAATGTCCTTTAATAACTATAAAATATTATGCTTAAACTAATTTTGAATCCTGGAGACATTGTTTTAAAGCTGCTTATTTCTCTTCATGCCTGCCATGTTAAAATGTTTCTGATTACCCAAGTGTTCCCTTTGTGGATGTAATGCCTCTTTGCTTGATTACTCACAAGTTGTCTGCCAGGTCTCAATCTTGCAATATGTTGAAAATCACCAATAGGAGCATTTTAAAGGACAATTATTAGACAATTAAGCTTGCAAAAGCACCCAGAAGTGAAATAATTACTCACTCAAAAATTTTTATCACTCTAAACACTTCATGAAATCTGAACATTTATTTCTGTTTCATTTAGATTGAAGATCTAATTCAAATGAAGTGTAGCACAATCTTGAGAAATTATTAAAATTTAACTGTTTTTTTTTTTTTTTTTTTTTTTTTAAAGAGTTGTTATTGGGTAAACATCTTCACAGAAAGTACCTAGCACAGTCTGTGAAGATAGCTTATAGTTAGAAAGGCACCTTCACCCTTATTTTTATTGTTTTAAAAGAATTGACTGATTGCAAACTACTTTCTTCATTCATGCCACACTGACAAATTAAAATTATACTATTAATGTGTCTAATTAATGCTTATAAATATTGTATACAATAAATACCACAATTTTATTTTTGAGATTACTAAAGTATGCTAACATATTCAAATATATATTCAAATCTGTTTTAAGAGATGATTAAACATACTGCTTACATTTTACATGTCAAATATTGAGCCTACTAACATTTTATGTTATAAAAGAAGATGTTCCTGCAAGGATCACAACATGCAACATCCTTAACTTATTTAATGTAATTACATGTATTATAAACCACTATACAACCATTTCCTTCAATATAAACCCTACTTTAATAAATCCCTGAAATAAAAAGGTTTATATGAGAAAAAGTTTATCTCAAAAAATAGTACATCGCTTTGACAGATTCTTTTGTAAGATAAATATCTGGTATAAGGTAAAGTCTAAGCTTGATTATCAGTGGCTTCTTTCATTTCGTATATGTCCCTTGTAATGTCCTTATATAGTATGCATATTAATGATGAAATTGTTACAGTTTCAGAAATATAAATTGTTAACATGGGAGAAACTATTTGAAAAGTGTATATATACTGAATTTCCCCTCTGGAATAGTCTTAAAAAAGAAATGGAAAAATGTAAATTGTGTAAGAGACAATAGTGTACGTTTGGACTGCTATATGCACCCATTATCAAATCCAGTAGATGTATTTGAATACTTAAAAAGTTCTTGAAAATAATGCACTTGAAAATTTTGTTAGCAATCAACATTATAACCTACTTATTTTGAAATACAAATTTTCTGTGACTGAGAATAAAAAGGATAAGTAACAACAATACTTATTTTTACATTTAGTGTTCACATTATAAAAGTAGCAGAGAGATAGAAACAATGCACTCTAAAAAGTGAGAATAAACAAGGAACACACAAAACTTAGGGGCGATTATGAAAAGGTATAATCTCAGCTCTATCCTCATAACTTCTTTAATCAGTTCAGACTAACTCCCTTTGTCTTACTACCATGGCGAAAGTAGCTGTTGAGACTCTCAAGGGCAGAAAAGAATCTAGAATCTAGTGCTATAAGTATATGCATGACAGCACAGGAAGTGACAGCTGACAATTTCATATCACGAAAGGAAATGTGACTTTTTTTTTTTTTTTAGAGTTGGAAGATGAGTAGAAATTGTTAAGAAGGAAAAATATCAGGAAAGAACTACATAGTAGGTAGGCATTATGTGTAAAGACAAGGCACATGAATGGTCATAGTAGATAATAAATAAAAGGTGGCAAGTATATCATAATGTTGGGATAGGTGGGGATAAAGAAGGGGAGAGATGAAACTGGTGGGATGAAAACAGACTAAAATGAAGGGTTTATATGTCATTCTGTGGAGTTGTGATTTCATCGTGAGGCAATGAGAAAAAGAAAAATACCATTCTTAGAAATCAACAGGTTCATATTCAGTTACTATGAAATATCCTTTGTATTCCAAAATACAAAGTGGGGTCAGAAATAACCCTGCGCAAAGTAATGTCTGGAATTCTGGTGAGATGGCCAAGACCTGAGTTTTCTTTACTACTTTACTTTCTCCCTTTTTAAATTTTATTTTATTTGTTTATGCCTACAGGAACTGGGATACAGGCCAGGGGTGCACGATGGGGTGAGAGGGTGAGAGGATTCACCATAGACACAGTGGGGAATGTTACAGGCAGATGTACTAAAATACACTGCTGAAGGAAGTAGCAGGTGAGACAGGAAAGTTCTGTCATGACATGTGGATGAGCTCCCTGGCCAGGGATCAAACTCATGCAGCTATGGCTGCCAGTGTCTTCAGAGTGCTGAGACTTAATTCCTTGCACCACCAGGTAGATCTCCCTTACTGCTTTCTTAACCTTTTTTTTTTTTTTTCTTTTATCATCATAAAGATGCATCTTAGCTATTCTGTAGCAACCACATTCTACTGTTTTGAGATCCAGCTACCAAGACTGTCCAAGTTAGTACCTGACATTTAACATTCAAGCACACACAAAATAGCAATGAAAGAAAGACTTTATTAATTAGGGTATAAGTTCAAATGTGTGCCAAAGCGATATTTTGTAGGTATTGAGACCAATGTCATGTACCAATTTGACCCATATTATCTACTATATGAGCCCTTGTCAAGAACTTTGAAGAATCTAAAATGTTATTGTTGCATGAAAGCTAACAAACTGGCATTATCACAGGTTCATAGTTGCTGTAAGAAGTCACAAATTCCTGGGCCAGATAGAACTCACAAAGCAATAACATGAGCTTCATGTTCACATTGGTTATTTTTATTCCTTCAAACCCCAGCAAGGAGGAAGGGAGACTCCAGTGAGTACTTGTAAACATGTACTTTTCTCACATCTGAAGAACCTTGAGTCTAGAAACTACTCACTTGAGAGGACATTGAGCAAAACCTGTGCTCTGAAATGAGACACTTTATTACTCTAATGAAGGATCAGATCTCCTCTCCCTTTAAGAATCCACCCTTTAAGTTGTGTGCTGTTCCCGTCCCACTGATCCAAGCATAATCACAAAGCAACACCTAACTAATAAGATGCTAGAAAAGTTTAGCAAATTTTTTTAACAAACAATTGATATTGTATTATCATAGAAAATTAAAATTAAGAAAAAGTTTCTATCTGGGATCAGTCTTCCACAATGTATGCCAAAGGGGCATGTTGATTGTTTCCAATTAAAAAGTCACTGAATGAACGATACCACTTTCTCCTAAAAATAGGAATGGATTTTTTCCTGACCCTCCTTTTCTCTGCTCCCCCTAAAGTAGGAATAAATCTTTATCTCCCTGCACAGAGATGTAGACACCCTTAGTACTAGAGAAAGGAACAGACAGAAGTTGTATAAATTAGTTCTGCTCAGTGAAATGCTTTCAAGATCCTGCTAGTATTGACCGTGCAACATGGAATTTAGCACACATGGACAACTTGTGTTGTGTCAGGGGCTTGCTCTAGATTAAAGGGCAATTTAGATGAGGCTGGGAAAAAGGGGTGAGAGTATGAAAAATAAAGAGATGTTCAGGAAATATGTCTGAATCAAAGGTGACAAGAAGCAGGTGTTGAGTGAAAATGAGAAGGAAAAGAGTTCTA